ATTTTTGTTCTTAATAAAGAACTTGTCAAAGACCGTCTCCTGTCATTTTTACACTACTCTTTTTTTTGTGAATGGGTAGCGGTGCCATGTACCCCATACTAATTCACATGGGGGGGCAGGATCACAAGGGGGGCTTCCAGATTTTGATAAGCCCCACCCCCACAACCACCGGCCATGGTTGCAGGGATGAGGCGCTTGTCCTCATCAACATGGGGACAAGTTGCTTTGGGGGGAGCCCACCCCAAAGCACCCCACCATGTTGAGGTCATGTGGCCTGTATGGTTCAGGAGGGGGGGGGTGCTCGCTCGCCCTTCTCCTTTCCTGACCTGCAGGGCTGCATGTTCGGATAAGGGTCTGGTATGGATTTTGGGGGGATCCCCACACCATTTTTTTTTCAAGTTTTGGCATGGGGGTTCCCCTCAAAATTCATACCAGACCTGAAGGGCTTGGTATGGATGGGAAGGGGGACCCCACGTCATTTTTAAATAAAAATTTTAATTGTCGGGCAATGCCGACAGTGGGAACCCCACTGACAGCTGAAACATGAATGAATGTCTCACTACTATAATACCGCGTGACGTCATCATAGAACTCACGCCGTAAGTTAGTAGCTGTGCGGGATCTGACCACATATTCGGATGCGCTAAGATGTCCCCTTCGGTTCGAAGTTCGCGGTCAAACTTTCATTAGGTTTGAATGTTCAACCACGAACCGAACGGGGGGGGGGGGGTGTTTCGGCCCATCACTACTCCTCAGGGCCCAGGGTCAGTAGGGGGGTCTCATGAAATGCCCCTGGTACCTTTCATAGGCTTTTTTGGGCGTGGTTTGAGTGTGGGTGAGGACACAGGGGCCCCATGATCCCCTATTGCCCAGGGGCCCCATGAGTTGTCAGTCCGCCACTGCCTCAGGGTCATAGTAAGAACCGAATAGCCGATATCCCATACTATTGGATATATAAATCTGATTCTTGTGGAAGTATGTATCCAAGAATTTATATTTCTGTCCATCCAGTTCTGTGATTTACACAGCTCAGCTACACAGCACAGCCCTGTCTGGCAGGGGAGGAGACCTCTTTTTTTTTCTGCTGCAGTTCTGAAAAAAATAAATAGTTAACCAAGAATCAGCAGCTGCAAATACTGTCGCTGCTTACTTTAATTAAACATGAACTCATCAGTCCAGGGTTCCGGCGCTGTGCTCACCTGGGCGGTTCTTCACCTGTCTTCAGGCGCCGCCATATTGGATGTGGGAAAACCAGCTGTGACTTCCTGGTGCTTCGCAGCCAGCTCATGAGTGAGCCATGCTGGGCTTTCTTAAGGGTTCCACAGCCTCCAGGGACCTTTCACATGTCCCAGAAGGTTGCAGGGGGAGGGGGGGAGGGGCAAAATTACGCTCGACTTGCCAAGGCTTATCTCTCTGTCATTCTGCTCTCTACTCCTATCAGCAAGCTTATTGTTAGTGCCTGAGCACTGTAGTGCAGCTGGTTGGCTCCTTGAGCTGCTTTGCCCTCTCCCAGTCGGAGCTCTGTTGTAAAGAGATGGGAAGATGCTGACATCGTGTCAAAACGAAATGTAACTCCCAGCACACTTACCAGCTAGGCATCAAAAAACACAAATGGTTAACAATGTGCATTAAAAAAGAGGTTTTAGTTAAAAAATACACTCACAGGCCACTTTATTAGGTACACCATGCTACCCATTGTGGTCTTCTGCTGCTGTAGCCCATCTGCTTCAAGGTTGGATGTGTTGTGCATTCAGATGGTATTCTGCATACCTTGGTGGTAACGAGGGGTTATTTTGAGTTACTGTTGCCTTTCTATCATCTGGAACCAGTCTGCCCATTCTCTGACCTCTGACTTCAACAAGGCATTTTCCTCCACACAACTGCCATTTGCTGGATATTTTCTCTTTTTCGGACCATTCTCTGTAAACCCCAGAGATGGTTGTGCGTGAAAATCCCAGGAGATCACCAGTTTTTGAAATACTCAGACCAGCCCATCTGGCACCAACAGCCATGTCACATTCAAAGTCCCTTAAATTCCCTTTTCTTCCCTATTCTGATGCTCGGTTTGAACTAATTTGTCTTCACCACGTCTAGATGGCTAAATGTATTGAGTTCCTGCAATATGATTGGCTGATCAGCAATTTGTGTTACCAAGGAATTGAACAGGTGGACCTAATAAAGAGGCCGGTAAGTGTATGTGTGATAGCTGCACTGCCTCGTCAAGACCCTTCTTGGGGGAATGGGCCCCCTCCAGGCATACCTGCTCTCAATGTATCCATTCCTATATATGCTCCATCATGAAGGATAGAGATAGGGCTTGCACTATGCAGACAGTGCCGGGACCATAGGCAGGTGTGCAACATGGAAACCCCTGAAGGAACTAAGCCATAAAGGGGTCTTACACCCTGCTACATACTGGCCTTCATCTGCTCTGGTGTGCCTGTGGTGTGGTGACCTGTGCTGGAACATTACTTATTATTCATGTTTCTGGGTCCCCTGCTGAGATCTGAGGGTTCCTGATTCTTGGAAGTTCCAAGCTACAACTCAGCCTAACTGGTATGAACCAGTCTGTCGGTCAACAGTGTGATGAACTATTCAAATTGTCTCCCTTGGGTGCACCAATCTAGCTGTCTCCATTGGGTGCACCAATCTAACTGTCTCCATTGGGTGCACCAATCTAACTGTCTCCATTGGGTGCACCAATCTAGCTTTCTCCATTGGGTGAACCAATCTAACTGTCTCCAGTGGGGTTAACCAATCTAACTTTCTCTATTGGGTGAACCAATCTAGCTGCCGCCAGTGGAATTAACCAATCTAGCTGATTCCATTGAGTGAACCAATCTAGCTGTCTACATTGGGTGCGCCAATCTGTCTCCATTGGGTGAGCCAATCTAACTGTCTCCATTGGTTGCGCCAATCTAGCTGTCTCCATTGGGATGAGCCAATCTAGCTGTCTCCATTGGGATGAGCCAATCTAGCTGTCTCCATTGGGAGAACCAATCTAGCTGTCTCCATTGGGTGAAACAATGTAACTGTTTCCATTGGGTGAAACAATGTAACTGTCTCCATTGGGTGAAACAATGTAACTGTCTCCATTGGGTTAAACAATGTAACTGTCTCCATTGGGTGAAACAATGTAACTGTCTCCATTGGGTGAAACAATTTAACTGTCTCCATTGGGTGAACCAATGTAACTGTCCCATTGGGTGCACTAATCTGTCTCCAGTGGGGTGAACCAATCTAACTGTCTCCATTGGGTGAACCAATCTAACTGTCTCCAGTGGGGTTAACCAATCTAACTTTCTCCATTGGGTGAACCAATCTAGCTGTCTCCATTGGGTGAACCAATCTAGCTGTCTCCATTGGGTGAACCAATCTAGCTGTCTCCATTGGGTGCACCAATCTAACTGTCTCCATTGGTTGCACCAATCTAGTTGTCTCCATTGGGATGAGCCAATCTAACTGTCTCCATTGGGATGAGCCAATCTAACTGTCTCCATTGGGATGAGCCAATCTAACTGTCTCCATTGGGATGAGCCAATCTAACTGTCTCCATTGGGATGAGCCAATCTAACTGTCTCCATTGGGATGAGCCAATCTAACTGTCTCCATTGGGATGAGCCAATCTAACTGTCTCCATTGGGATGTCTCCAATCTAACTGTCTCCATTGGGATGTCTCCAATCTAGCTGTCTCCATTGGGATGTCTCCAATCTAGCTGTCACCAGTGGGGTGAACCAATCTAACTGTCTCCATTGGGTGAACCAATCTAATTGTCACCAGTGGGGTGAGCCAATCTAACTGTCTTCACAGGGTAAACAAATTTAACTGTCTCCATTGGTGCACTAATCTGTCTCCTGCGGGGTGAACCAATCTGTCTCCAGTGGGGTTAACCAATTTATCTTTCTCCAGTTAGGTGAACCAATATAACTGTCTCCTGTGGGGTGAACCAATCTAGCTGCCACTAGTGGAATGAACCAATCTAGCTGCCACTAGTGGAATGAACCAATCTAACTGTCACCAGTGGGGTGCATGAATCTAACCGTAACCAGTGGAATTAGTCAATCTGCCTGTTAATAGTGGTATGAACCAATTTAACTGTCTCCAGTGGGGTGAACCAACTTAACTGTCACTGATGTGAAGAACCAACAATCCCCGTGGGATTAACCAATGTAACCAATGCTAGTTCAATTAATCATTCTAAATTTCTTCAGTGGGATGAACCATTTTAATGATCATCAATGGGATAAAACCGCTCTGTCTCTAGTGGAATGAACTAATCTACCCATCACCAGTTGGGTGAACCAATCTAGCCGTCTCTAGTGGGATAAACCAATTTCCGTGTTTCCAGTGGGGTGTACCAATCTGTCACCAGTACTGTAAACTATTATGAGTGGGATGAACCAATCTGTCTGTCAAAAGTGGGAGGAACCTGTCAGCTGTGGAGTAATCCAATCAAACTGTATCCAGCGAGATGTCAGCAGTGGGATGAACCAATCTGTCACCATTTTATTTATTTCAGGTACTTATATAGCGCCGTCAATGTACGCCGCGCTTTACATATATATTGTACATTCACATCAGTCCCCGCCCCCGAGGAGCGTACAATCTAAGGTCCCTAACTCACATTCATACATACACATACTAGGGACAATTTAGACAGGAGCCAATTCACCTACCAGCATGTCTTTGGAGTGTGCGAGGAAACCGGAGTACCCGGAGGAAACACACGCAGGCACAGGGAGAACATGCAAACTCCAGGCAGGAGGTTCTATGTTTGAGAATCGAACCGACGACCTGAGTGCTACCAGGCGGAAATGCCAATCATTAACCAGTTGCCGACCGCAGATAGCCAAATGACGGCTACACTGTGGCTGGCTAGTTCTGGGTGGGCGTCATATGAGGTCCTCCCAGAACGCGCTCACCGGCGTGCACCCGACGATCTCCATAATCACTGTGTCCTGCAGACACAGCTGATCACGTGATGTGGTAAAAGGCCAATCACAGCGGTCTTTTACCACGTGATCAGCCGTGTCCAATGACACGCAGATCACCGGGAAATGCAATTGCCAGTTCTCAGCTGCACTTTCCTCACGCTGTCAGATCGTGAGGAAAGTACTGCCAAGAACCAGCGGTTGTCAGAGCGGGGATCGGCACCGATCATCAGGGCACTGATGATCAGTGCCCTGATGATCGGTGCCCAGCAGTGCCACCCACCAGCTCCACCCACCTGTGCCCAGCAGTGCCACCCACCTGTGCCCAGCAGTGCCACCCACACAGCTCCGCCCACCTGTGCCCAGCAGTGTCACCCAACTGTGCCCAGCAGTGCCACCCACCAGCTCTGCCCACCTGTGCCCAGCAGTGCGCCCACCAGTGCCCAGCAGTGCCACCCACCAGCTCTGCCCACCTGTGCCCAGCAGTGCACCCACCAGTGCCCAGCAGTGCCACCCACCAGATCCACCCACCTGTGCCCAGCAGTGCCCCCCACCTGTGCCCATCAGTGCAGCCCAGCAGTGCCACCAATCTGTACCAGCAGTCAGTGCCCAGCAGTTGCGCCAGTCAATGCTTAGCAGTGCCGCCAGTCAGTACCCATCATCAGTACCCATCATCAGTGCCACCTCATTTGTGCTGCCTATCAGTGCCACCTCATTAGTGCTGCCTATCAGTGCCACCTATCCATGCCACCTCATTAATGCTGCCTATCAGTGCCGCCTATCAGTGCTCTTCAGTGCTGCCTATCAGTGCCGCTTATCAGTGTCCATCAGTGCAGCCTCATCAACACACATCAGTGAAGGAGAACAAATACCTGTTTGCAAAATTTTATAATAGAAACAAAGAAACTTTTTTATTTAAAATTTTTTGCTCTTTTTTTGCTTATAGCGCAAAAATTAAAACACCCAGCGCGAGTACATACCACCAAAAGAAAAGCGCTATTTGTGAGAAAAAAAAATTATAAAAAGTTTCATATGGGTACAGTGTTTCATGACTGCACAATTGTCATTCAAAGTGCGACAGCGCTGAAAGCTGGAAATTGGCCTGGACAGGAAGGGGGTAGAAGTGCCCTGTAGGCAGGAAGGGGGTAGAAGTGTCCGGTAGGCAGGAAGGGGGTAGAAGTGTCCGGTAGGCAGGAAGGGGGTAGAAGTGTCCTGTAGGCAGGAAGGGGGTAGAAATGTCCTGTAGGCAGGAAGGGGGTAGAAGTGTCCTGTAGGCAGGAAGGGGGTAGAAGTGCCCGGTAGGCAGGAAGGGGGTAGAAGTGTCCGGTAGGCAGGAAGGGGGTAGAAGTGTCCTGTAGGCAGGAAGGGGGTAGAAGTGTCCTGTAGGCAGGAAGGGGGTAGAAGTGCCCGGTAGGCAGGACAGGGGTAGAAGTGCCCTGTAGGCAGGAAGGGGGTAGAAGTGTCCGGTAGGCAGGAAGGGGGTAGAAGTGCCCTGTAGGCAGGAAGGGGGTAGAAGTGTCCTGTAGGCAGGACGGGGGTAGAAGTGTCCTGTAGGCGGGAAGGGGGTAGAAGTGTCCGGTAGGCAGGAAGGGGGTAGAAGTGTCCGGTAGGCAGGAAGGGGGTAGAAGTGTCCGGTAGGCAGGAAGGGGGTAGAAGTGCCCTGTAGGCAGGAAGGGGGTAGAAGTGTCCTGTAGGCAGGAAGGGGGTAGAAGTGTCCGGTAGGCAGGAAGGGGGTAGAAGTGTCCTGTAGGCAGGAAGGGGGTAGAAGTGTCCTGTAGGCGGGAAGGGGGTAGAAGTGTCCTGTAGGCAGGAAGGGGGTAGAAGTGCCCGGTAGGCAGGACGGGGTAGAAGTGCCCTGTAGGCAGGAAGGGGGTAGAAGTGTCCGGTAGGCAGGAAGGGGGTAGAAGTGTCCTGTAGGCAGGAAGGGGGTAGAAGTGTCCTGTAGGCAGGAAGGGGGTAGAAGTGCCCGGTAGGCAGGAAGGGGGTAGAAGTGTCCGGTAGGCAGGAAGGGGGTAGAAGTGTCCTGTAGGCAGGAAGGGGGTAGAAGTGTCCTGTAGGCAGGAAGGGGGGGTAGAAGTGCCCGGTAGGCAGGACAGGGGTAGAAGTGCCCTGTAGGCAGGAAGGGGGGTAGAAGTGTCCGGTAGGCAGGAAGGGGGTAGAAGTGCCCTGTAGGCAGGAAGGGGGGTAGAAGTGTCCTGTAGGCAGGACGGGGGTAGAAGTGTCCTGTAGGCGGGAAGGGGGTAGAAGTGTCCGGTAGGCAGGAAGGGGGTAGAAGTGCCCTGTAGGCAGGAAGGGGGTAGAAGTGTCCTGTAGGCAGGAAGGGGGTAGAAGTGTCCTGTAGGCAGGAAGGGGGTAGAAGTGCCCGGTAGGCAGGAAGGGGGTAGGCAGGAGTAGAAGTGTCCGGTAGGCAGGAAGGGGGTAGAAGTGTCCTGTAGGCAGGAAGGGGGTAGAAGTGTCCTGTAGGCAGGAAGGGGGTAGAAGTGCCCGGTAGGCAGGACAGGGGTAGAAGTGCCCTGTAGGCAGGAAGGGGGTAGAAGTGCCCAGTAGGCAGGAAGGGGGTAGAAGTGCCCGGTAGGCAGGAAGGGGGTAGAAGTGTCCTGTAGGCAGGACGGGGGTAGAAGTGTCCGGTAGGCAGGAAGGGGGTAGAAGTGTCCTGTAGGCAGGAAGGGGTTAGGCCACTGTGCTGCTCACTAGGAGGGTGGACATTCTAACTGTCACAGTGGGGTGAACAAGCTGTCATTAGTGCATTGAACAATCTATCACCAGTTAGGTGAACCTTTTCTCACAAGCAGAGTGTACAATGAACCAATCTGTCACCACACACAGTGGGATAAACAATTTTACTGTCACCAGCGGGGTAAACATTGATCAGACGGGAGACAGAGAGATACAAAGTAACATTGTTTATAAACATCAATTAGACAGGAGATAGAGAGATACAAAGTAACATTGTTTATAAAACATCGATCAGACGGGAGATAGAGAGATACAAAGTAACATTGTTTATAAACATCGATCAGACGGGAGATAGAGAGATACAAAGTAACATTGTTTATAAACATCGATCAGACGGGGGATAGAGGGATACAAAGTAACATTGTTTATAAACATCGATCAGACGGGAGATAGAGAGATACAAAGTAACATTGTTTATAAACATCGATCAGACGGGGGATAGAGGGATACAAAGTAACATTGTTTATAAACATCGATCAGACGGGGGATAGAGGGATACAAAGTAACATTGTTTATAAACATCGATCAGACGGGGATAGAGGGATACAAAGTAACATTGTTTATAAACATCGATCAGACGGGAGATAGAGAGATACAAAGTAACATTGTTTATAAACATCGATCAGACGGGGGATAGAGGGATACAAAGTAACATTGTTTATAAACATCGATCAGACGGGGATAGAGAGATACAAAGTAACATTGTTTATAAACATCGATCAGACGGGAGATAGAGAGATACAAAGAAACATTGTTTATAAACATCGATCAGACGGGAGATAGAGAGATACAAAGTAACATTGTTTATAAACAAAACAGTACAGATATCCCCCAAATGTCAGGACAGTACAGATATCCCCCAAATGTCAGCACAGTACAGATATCCCCCCAAATGTCAGAACAGTACAGATATCCCCCAAATGTCAGGACAGTACAGATATCCCCCAAATGTCAGCACAGTACAGATATCCCCCAAATGTCAGAACAGTACAGAAATCCCCCCAAATCTCAGCACAGTACAGATATCCCCCAAATGTCAGGACAGTACAGATATCCCCCCAAATGTCAGCACAGTACAGATATCCCCCAAATGTCAGGACGGGACAGATATCCCCCAAATGTCAGGACGGGACAGATATCCCCCAAATGTCAGGACAGTACAGATATCCCCCCAAATGTCAGCACAGTACAGATATCCCCCAAATGTCAGGACGGGACAGATATCCCCCAAATGTCAGGACGGGACAGATATCCCCCAAAATGTCAGAACAGGACAGATATCCCCCAAATGTCAGCACAGTACAGATATCCCCCCAATGTCAGCACAGTACAGATATCCCCCCAAATGTCAGCACAGTACAGATATCCCCCAAATGTCAGGACAGTACAGATATCCCCCAAATGTCAGCACAGTACAGATATCCCCCAAATGTCAGCACAGTACAGATATCCCCCCCCAAAGTCAGCACAGTACAGATATCCCCCCAAATGTCAGAACAGTACAGATATCCCCCCAAAAGTCAGCACAGTACAGATATCCCCCAAATGTCAGAACAGTACAGATATCCCCCAAATGTCAGCACAGTACAGATATCCCCCAAATGTCAGAACAGTACAGAAATCCCCCCCAAATCTCAGCACAGTACAGATATCCCCCAAATGTCAGGACAGTACAGATATCCCCCAAATGTCAGCACAGTACAGATATCCCCCAAATGTCAGGACGGGACAGATATCCCCAAATGTCAGGACGGGACAGATATCCCCCAAATGTCAGAACAGGACAGATATCCCCCAAATGTCAGCACAGTACAGATATCCCCCCAAAATGTCAGCACAGTACAGATATCCCCCAAATGTCAGGACGGGACAGATATCCCCCAAATGTCAGAACAGGATAGATATGCCCCAAATGTCAGCACAGTACAGATATCCCCCAAATGTCAGGACAGTACAGATATCCCCCAAATGTCAGGACAGTACAGATATCCCCCAAATGACCCCTTTTTGCAGAGTAGACAGTCTGACGTACTTCATAAGAGGCATGGAGAGTTTTTTGAAGTTGTATTTTTTTGTCATAATTTTACGGAAAATTAAAAAATTAAAAAAATAATTTTCACTATTTTTTTTACATACTGTCACCAGTGCAGTACAGCGTCATCATATAACTGGCATGGCGGTGATCAGGGACACTGACAGTATGAAAAAAAATATATAATTTTTTTTTTTTATTAATTTTACATTTTTATTATATATTTTTTCTGTTTTTAAAGATTTTTTTTTCATATTTCACTATGACCAAAGTAGTACAATGTTACCATAGTAACATTGTACTACTTTGGGGAAGTGATCAGTATTTTTTTTTTTTTTACACAATTTGTTTATAGCAAAGAATTACTTTGCTATAAGCAAGCATTTACCTGAATGAAATCGATTCATTCAGGGTTTTTTTTTCTTTTTGTGCTTAGCTGGGATTTGGCCACAGCTAATCACATGACATGTGCATGTGACCTGCTGTGACCATTCACAGCTAGACACTAGTATACAATGGATGGCATGAATGAAGCCATCCATTGTATTCAGCTGTCATGTGACCTGCTGTGATTGGTCACAGCAGGTCACGATACCTGCAACGGGGGCTGGCACTCAGATCTGTCATCGGCTGTGTCCAAGGTACATGGCCAGTGACAGATCGAGCCGCTGCGCGGCTCTGCAAGCGTGCAAACTGCGCATGCCCAGGAGTACCATATGCCATCCACCCGGAAATCTAATGTATTTCTCCGGCCACCAAACGACTATTGGCCAGGCATCTATTGGTTAAAAAAAACAAAATGAAAAATTGGTCGTTCAATTGGCTGATGTTACCACCAACGTTAAAAAAATCGGCTGATTTTCGTCCCGTCTACAGCCAGCATTTTTACTTCTGTCCCTTGCAGAGAGCTCCGCTATTATATTTTATATGAAAATGTCTTTCGGTTACAACATTGTATCCATTTGTGTCCATTTCGGATATAGATGGTTTTATTTGGATACAAATAGATACATTGTTGCAACCGCAAGGCTTTTCATCTAAAATATAATAGCGGACTGGAATTCTTCTTCTTCCTTCCTCTTCTTCTTCTTCTTTTCAGATTTTTTATCGGTAAAAACGATTGGCCGATTTGCCAATCGGCTGCGATTTTTCCAACTTGACTGACAAAAAAAAAAAATGTGCCAAAACTCCAAAAAACAGCCGACCAATTAACCCTCTAATGGTGCGGAAATCGACCGATTTTTGACCCGTCTATGGCCTGCAGTAGGCACACCTCGAACACGTAGCTACTGCCAGTCACCGGCTCTCTGCTCACTGCAGACCGAGAACTGAGCGATCGGCGGTCTTTGATTGCCCAGTTCTCTGTCTCTGAGCCGGCAGGGGACAGACGCAGCACCTAGGTGAGTAGAATTACTTGGTTTTTTTTTTGGTTTTTTTAAATCCCATACCTCATTTCAGAGCAAACTGACAAGTAAAAAGAAAAAAAGTGTTCCTATTCAACCCTTTATATTGTGTGATTTCCAAAACTTGGTATTGCTTTTGAAGTGTTTATATTGTTTTTTTTGTGCTTCTAACATGCTTTCTGTATCCAATTTTCAGGGAGATGGGAACTTTCTGCATTCCAGGCAGTTCAATGCTCTAAGTAGCAGCAGTCTGCGGCACGATGCGTCCGGATGGAAGAGCTGTTTGCTAGGACAGCACATAATCTGCAGCTAACAGGAGCTTTTTTGTATGAAATTCTCCGCATGAAAACACAGAGCTGAGAAGCGTACTATTGGAGGCGACGGAACGCGGCTGTCCGTGTGCTTCGGAGGCAGTATAAAGCATACATGTACAGAAACCCTGAAGCTGAACTGTCCTTGTTCGCTTAAGGTGGGAATACATGATCAGAAAATCGACCGATCGTTCGTTCATCCGACGACCGAGAGGCGTTCGTTTGTTGGTCGTAATCGCGGCCCACATTAACCAATCTAAAAAAAATAAGTTTGTCGGGCAATACGTAGTGTTGACGTCTTCCGTACAAGTGGAAGTGATGCAGTGTGCGTGACCTTGTAGCCACGCCTCTTCTGAGCAGAACGAGCGCTCCGTGCCCTTCCGGCCAGAACAGGGTTTTGTGCCCTTCCGGCCTGTACGAGCATTCCACGTCCTTCCTTCCAGAAGGAGCGTTCCGCGCGGCTCACATTAACCAATCTAAAAAAAAAAGTTTGTCGGGCAATACGTAGTGTTGACGTCTTCCATACAAGTGGAAGTGATGCAGTGTGCATGACCTTGTAGCCACGCCCCTTCTGGCCAGAACAAACATTCTGCACCCTTCCGGCCAGAACGAGCGTTCCGCGCCCTGCCGGCCAGTATGAGCGTTCCACATCTTTCCTGCCAGAAGGAGCGTTCCACGCCCTTCCGGCCAGTACGAGCGTTCCACGCCCTTCCGGCCAGAACGAGCGTTCCATGCCCTTCCGGCCAGAACAGGGTTCCGCGCCCTTCCGGCCAGAATGAGCGCTCCACGCCCTTCCGGCCAGTATGACCGTTCCACGTCCTTCCTGCCAGAACGAGCGTTCCATGTCCTTCCGGCCAGAAGGAGCGTTCCGTGCGGCCCATATTTACCAATCTAAAGAAAAAAGTTTGTCGGACAATACGTAGTGTTGACGTCTTCCGTACAAGTGGAAGTGATGCGGTGTGCGTGACCTTGTAGCCATGCCCCTTCCGGCCAGAACGAGCATTCCGCGCCTTTTCAGCCAGAACGAACGTTCCGCACCCTTCCGGCCAGAAAGAGTGCTCCATGCCCTTCCGGCCAGAACAGAGTTCTGCGCCCTTCCGGCCAGAATGAGCGTTCCGCGCCCTGCCGGCCAGTACGAGCGTTCCACATCCTTCCTGCCAGAACGAGTGTTCCACGCCCTTCCGGCCAGTACGAGCATTCCACGCCCTTCCGGCCAGAACGAGCATTCCGCGCCCTTCCGGCTAGAACGAGCGATCGGCGCCCTTCCGGCCAGAACGAGCGTTCCGCGCCCTTCCGGCCAGAACGAGCATTCCAAGCCCTTCTGGCCAGAACGAGCGTTCCGCGCCCTTCCGGCCAGTGCGAGCGTTCCACGCCCTTACGGCCAGAAAGAGCGTTCCACGCCCTTACGGCCAGAAAGAGCGTTCCACGCCTTACGGCCAGAAAGAGCGTTCCACGCCCTTACGGCCAGTACGAGCATTCCACGCCCTTCCAGTCAGAAGGAGCGTTCCGCGCCCTTCCAGCCAGAACAAGCATTCCGAGCCCTTCTGGCTAGAACGAGCGTTCTGCGCCCTTCCGGCCAGAACAAGCATTCCGAGCCCTTCTGGCCAGAACGAGCGTTCCGCGCCCTTCCGCACAGTACGAGCGTTCCACGCCCTTATGGCCAGTACGAGCGTTCCATGTCCTTCCTGCCAGAACGAGCGTTCCACACCCTTCCGGCCAGTACGAGCGATCCGCGCCCTTCCTGCCAGAACAAGCGATCCACGCCCTTCCGGCCAGAAAGAGCGTTCCACGCCCTTCTGGCCATCTTCTATTTGCGTTCATGCGTGATAGCGCTTGATAATTTTTTTCCGTACGACCGTCATACCGCCGCATAGAAAATCGGTCGTTCATATGCAAAACGACAAAATTTTTCACTGTTGTTCAACCGGATTTTTTCGTTCACAATATCGTTATCGGTTAAAAGATCCTGCTCATCAACAAAGAGAAAATCGTTCAATCGGTGGTTCGAATTTTTTCGTGCGATTTTCTTATCGTGTGTATGAGGCATTAGTAAGTGTTAAATCCCATCCTGTGTGTCTTGTCTATCAATTATTTTATATCCATTGGTGTTTGTTGGGGTTTCTGACAGTTTCTTGTTATTTACAACATTTCTTGGTTTTGGATGACAACGCTAACCACAGGCTGCAAATTCCAACCGTAGTGTTGCCACCATGCTTGTGCTTATTCCTTAACCCCTCCCCCTCCAGAGGATTTCCTGATCAGGCCATTTTTTCACGTTATGGTGCTGCGTTACTTTAACTGACGATTGCGCAGTCGTGCAACGCCACGCCCAAATGAAATTGACGTCCTTTATTTCCCACAAATAGAGCTTTCTTTCAGTGGTATTTGATCACATGGGCGGTTTTTATTTATTTTTTTGTGCTATAAACAAAAAAAGACCATCAATTTTGAAAAAAAAATATATTTTTAACTTTTTGCTATAAAACATGTCCAGTAAAAAAAAATTAAAAATCAAATTTTGTCATAAATTTAGTATTCTGCGACAAAAAAAAAAAAAAAAAAAAAAAAAAAAAAAAAAAATCGCAAAATGTGTAAATTAATTGGTTTACTTAAAAGTTATAGCGTCTATAAATGGCGGGAAAGATACTGGGATTTTTTTTAATATATATACTAGTAATGGCGGCGATCAGCGACTTATAGCCAGACTCCGGCGGCATTCTGACACTGGGGGCGGGGAACTGACTTGATGTCACTGACATTTCCAGTGATACCAATACAGTAATCAGTGCTAATAAAAAGCCCCAACACTGTACTAACCCACATGGAATAAAAATATATTTGAAATGCTATAATATTGGCTATATGCAATATATTTAAAAAAAAAAATAATATATATATAAATGTGTATTTGCTCCCCGATGCTGAATGTTCGCCCCTCACACAGAAATGATCGGTCTAACAATGGAATGTTCGGTGTAACACTGAGAGACAGAATACAACAACAAATCCAGCAGAAATGCGTCTAACCAATGATGACTGATCTGCATGTTCATGAGGGAAAGAAGGATTTGATCCCCTTCACAAAACATGACTTAGCACTTGGTGGCCAATCC